ACCCTTACCTTTGTAGACAAGAAACAAATGATGGAGGAAGAAATAGGTGTAGAAAATGAGCTTAGATTGTAAGATTTGGGCTAAAAGTGTTGCATTTCAAAAAAAAAAAAAAGTGAAAAATCAATAAATTAAAAAGAAAAAAACAGCAATTGATTTTTGGCATCTAACTTGCCAAAAAATCACACTTACCTTTGTAGATAGCAAGCAAATGATGGAGGAAGAAACAGGTGCAGAAAATGGTGAAAGAAGGGAGGAAAATGAGAAGTCCAAATCAGAAAATGGGAAAGAGGCGAAAGGATGGGGAAGAAGAGTAGTCTGCAAAGCATCTCTACAGATTGAGTTTTTTTTTTTTTTGGGACCATTAATGGTCCGAAAATTGGCCAAAAGCTGACACAACATCAAATCAAGGGCAGCATGTCTTGGCAAGGTTTTCCAGACCATTCTCGATCCGGAAAAAGCAGTAGAATAGAAAAAAGAGACCAAGATTGGTCTAGAAAATTGCATTTTCCTGTTGTAATGTTCCAGACCATAGTTGGTCCAAACTTATGGGGAAAAAAGGAGGAGGAGGAAGGCCTATCTTGTGAATTTTTTCAGACCAATCTTGGATACCCTAATACCTAAGTAATAAATTTTAAAAAGTTTAAACTTTAATTTCCTAAAACTTAAATTATAAGAAATTTAAACCTAATACTTTAAAAATTAAATTAAAAAACTAAAATAATTTTAATCTATTAGTAGTCTTTGGTCTAATAAAAGTGAGATAAAAACGTTGATTTTTAAGTATTAATCTTTTATCATACAATTTATATGTCCCATCTAACATTATGCTTTTATCATACAATGTATAAGTATACATACATGAAACATAAACAAAAACGCAAAATAAATAAATAAATAAATACACGGCCTTGACCATTGAGGATTTGTATAGAGATAAAAACTTTTCACCCGAGTATAACACAACCTTCCCAAAGTATCATCTTCATGTCAAATACAAAAAATGGGTTTGTTGAATTTATATGTTTAAATATAGGTTAAAAATATATATAAAATATATTTTTTATAATTAATTTATATAAAAATTTATAAAAATAACTTTTATTTTAATATTATTGATATAGAGATAATTTTAATTAGTTAATTAATTAAATTAAAATTAATATTTATATTTTATATATAAATTAATTATAAAAATATATATTTATTATACTCTTATTTTTTTGTCCTTTAGAAAACAAAAAAAATAAAATTAATGATTCCAATAAACTTTTCTTACCAAAGCTACGAAAGTTCTTTAACATCTATACACGAAAAAATGTTTAATAACTGAACTTGTAAAAACAATGTTTAATTACTGAAACTTGCAAAAAAAAAAGGACAAGAAAATACTTCAAAATTTTGTTATTTTAATAAATTTTTATTAAAAAATTAAATTATTTTATTTTTTGAAATAAAAATTAAATTATTTTATTTTTTGAAATAAAAATAATATAATTTTAATTTTTTATAATATTTTATTAACATAATATAATTTTAAAATATATTTTAACTTATTTTTTTACTAATACAATTAATAAATACCAATCTCTTAACTTTTGAATTTTTTCCCTTTTTTTTATTTTTTATGTTTTATTTTTTATTTTTACACCAAAAGCAAATAGTTTTTCTAATATGATGCACCATTTCGGTTCGGAGCACAGAGAACGCCTTTTCATTTTCATTTCCCTCCTTTTGTTATTTCAAATTTCAAAAACAACCTAAGGGCTCTCTTTCTGCACGTTAAATCTGCTCTTGAAACTCTCACTCTCACACTAAAGCTCCCTCCGAGGGCTCCATTTCCGGCTCCGATCCTAAAATCGAATTTCGTATATCGATGATATATCAATTGCTCAATCGCCAATTAGGTTTTATCGCCAGATCGTTTCTCAGATTTCTCGAGAAATTTGTATCGAGAACCATGGGCTGTTTCTTTGGATGTTTTCGCGTCAGAGGCGATACTTCTCGCTCTCAATTCGTCTCCGCTGCTTCCACTCGCTCTAAATCCACTGTGTGTATTCTTTTTTTTTTTTCTCTCAATTTCCCTCTCTGTGATTGTTTCCCGAGAAAAATCGAGTTCAAGAAAAGAAAACTTTTCTTTTTGTTATCAAGAAAAGCACCATTTATTCGTTACTTTGTGTGCCGATCTCGGAAAAAAGTGAAAAGAAAACCAAAAGAAAAAAATGTTTTTAAGTGATTTTGTTCTGATCTGTTTTCCGTTTGGTTGCTGATTATTGAGGTAAAAAAGGAAAATTCATTTCTGGTTACTGGTTAGCTTAACGAATTAGTTGATAGATTTCGTTAATTATTTCTACACATAAATTGTTTGATCATTTGTATTTTATGCAGGATCGTGTTGTATCGCGTAATCGTTTATCCTCTCTATTCCTTGATGAAGGTAAATATTTCGGTGTAAAATTCTCGTAGGATTTTAATTATTGTTTGGGTCCTCAATTAGATTGGTTCTTAAAATCCTCTTGTGAATCGCATGTTAAAATTGCTTCAAAAGAGAAAGGAGGCTCTCGATTTAGTGAATGCGAAAATGTTGGTTTCGAGTCTCCACAGATTCGAAGGGGTCTCAGAGATGAGGTATGCCTCTCTAATCTATTGAAAATACAATTTGGAACAGTATCCAATTTTATTTGACTTTGTAATGTAAATGTTTTTATCAGTTTTTGTTTTCAATATAACCCTTAAATTTCATAGCATTTTGGTATTTTCTAATATCTAGTATTGTTTGTTGCGTTGGTACTGGCTTAAGAGTGTAGGTAGCTTGAAAACAAGTATATTTAAGATGAGGTTATGCAATGTTGTTCAAATAGTTGCTCTTTTAATTCTGTGCATTTTACGCTAACAGGTTAAGTAGTTTTACGATTTTTTGCTAAACAAGGGTGGAAATATGCCATCCTAGTCTTGAATCACGATCATGACCAGTGATATGAACACTTTTAGGGACAGGGATCATCCCTTTCATAAAGGAAGTTTCTCCTGTAATATTTTCTTATTGACAGAACTTGCACTGTTTTCTGGAGTCTACTAAAACATTACATTAACCCTTACAGGACTTGGAGAATTGGTTGCTTATGTGGCTCTAGTTTCCTCACGTTTATGCTATTTTAGATTCTCCCTATCTGGTTTTAATAAAGTTCTTCTACAGGCTAACTTCCTTAAAGCATGTGGTACTATACTGGAGACTCCTATAGAAATTCGCAAAGCATCTGAGAAGCTAAAGCATTCACCTTCTTTTGAAGGTGATTCAGAACAACCAAAGTTCCATACCTGGCTTCCAAACACATCTATTAAGAAACTTCTGTCAGAGAGGCCAACTGGTCAACCCTCTTCTACAATCAAACTCTATGAAGAGAGGGAACTGAGTTTTTCAGAACAGACGCTCAGCAGGTCAAAAATCTTAACCGTATATCTTCTTATGAAGTCTACATACATTAGCTAATGGGTTCTCCCTTGTCACATCTAGGTTGGATTGAAGCTTTCTCCAAATAGTTTGCTAATTTGCTTGCAATAACAGAGGAACTGAACATGAGAACAAAATCTCTGTCCTTTTTTTTTAATGATTTTAAACATCAACGCTGGTTGTTTGACTGGAAGGGTATTTGTTAAATAAGTTTAGGCTTATTACAGCCAAACTGGTGTCTAGTTTTGAAATTCATCCGTAGACCCCATTTCTTTTACTTGAAATCATGCAGCTGCCTGACAATTTTTTTTACTCTTGTTCTATAGCAGTATTTCCAATGCTGGAACCTGTGGAAGGATCTCTAACTGTGCTGCAGAAGGAAATGAAGAAACAAGTATGGATGCACCCCAAGTCAAGACTCAAACTAGTCAGACTGATAATGTTAAAACATCAATCTCTCCGTGGCCTCCAGCTACAAACATTCATGGCAAGACAAAGTCTGTGCGTTTTGAATGTGATGATGCATCTCCCTCTATAGGTTCTTCACATGAAGATGCTAGCCAGGGTTCTAAGAATTCAGTGTCACCTGGTAAACAAAGTGTAATAAAACCCTATCCCCACCCCACACCATTAAAACTTTCAGATGAAATGCAGACACCTGGAACTGTTTATCCCACAAATGTCGAAGCCATAGAAAATGGAAAGACTCGTATAAGGTCTCAATTTGTTTATTCAGTATTGAACCCAGTAGAGGATGCCTCTCAATGGAAGGTACTGAAGGATGAGCAGATTGGTTCCAAAGAAATGCTAGGTGATTTAAGAGACTCTTTTGAGCAACTGGTTATTGCCACTCCTGAGCCAGAAGTTGGGGTAAAAAAAGAAACATCAATTAGTGGGAAGGTGTTGAATGTCGAAGCAAGTTTGTCTTCTTGGCTGAAGCCACAACCAAACACTCATAATGAGAACAATCAAAATCTTTGGGCTGCTTCAAGCAATGTCCCTCAATTTTGCAGAACTGGAGACAGGCCCATCATTGGGATGGTTGCTGCTCACTGGAATGAGAATGAACGTTCCCATATCTCGCACAAGTGGTGGGATGGGAATGGAATCCCAAATTCAACCACTAAGTATAAGGAGGTATATCTTTTTGCTAGCTAAAATTCTATCTATGTCTGCATCACCAAAACCATACCTACTGAATGCTTATATCTTTTCCAGGATCAAAAAGTCAGTTGGCATGCAACACCATTTGAAGAGAGATTAGAAAAGGCTTTATCTGAAGAGAGTTTAATCACTCAAAGGTAAGCTAGCTTCTTTTGTTCGCCAAAGTTTTATGCATTTAGGATTTCATTTTATGTATCTAGTAATTTGGTCAGCAGTGTTGAGAGTTCGGAGCCAAAGTTTTGAAAGAAGTATTTGTCAGGTGTTGTGTTAGCAGGACAGAAGATTCTGTACAATAGTTTCTTTGGATTTTTAAATGTTGCAGCCATGAGATCGCTCCAGCCTCTCCATCTTTCTTTGAATACTTTGCCCGTTTGATTTCACATTTTTTTCCCAAACAGCAATGGGACATGTTTTTATGAAGTTGTATATATAAAGCTAAAAGAGGGTGGTTCCAGCCTCCAGTTTATTCTACGAATGGGACCTCAGATATTTCTTTAGCGTTTTTTTGCCCTTCAGACACATTCTAATTGCCTAGTTCTTTTTTCCAGGAAGCATGCTTACAAGACTCCATTGGTTTTTGATGAGGCGGATGAAGCTGATACTGCTATTTCTCTTCTGCAACCTTCTGCGCATTCAAAATCGGTTGTTTCGGTCTGATGCATTGGGAATTGCGTTTCCTTGTATAGTTGGATTGGCAATTGATAGCCTATGATGCAGTTTACTTGATTCTCAAAAAATGAAATGCCGTGGCAGGTTCAGGTTGCCCTTCGGTTGTGTGCTCAGCAGCCTGTGACTGTTAATACAAAGTTCTGGCATTTGAGCTACTGCTAGGATGATTTGTCATTGATTTGGTGATAAACTTCCTTAAACATGGATAAATATAATGTCCAGTCTATTAACACTACTGATGTTTATTATTAGTTAAATACTCGATTTGGTCACTCAACTTTCATTTTTGAACCAAATTTATCTTTGGACATTAAAAAGTATTAAAAGTATCTTCAAATTTTAATTTTTAGCGTTAATTTAGTCCTATCGTCATTGAAAGAGATAGATAGCACATTAAATTGTCAAAAAATTGCCCTTTTTTTTTTTTCTAAAAATAAATAATGATGTGGAAAAATATACACGCAAGGTGTTGTGATTTGGCATTTTTAATTTTCAAGCATTTTAATCAAATTTTTATCACTAACCTTAATACTCATTGTTTTACTGCTTGATGAATACATCTTAAAAGCATAGGAAACCCTAAATTTAATCTCCAAGCCATCACATCTACAGATGGGCAAATTTCTAGAATACTATGTTGTCTCATTGGAGTACGCTATCTCACTAGTACATGCTAAATTTTTGGACATTGGTATTAGGACTTGTATCGGTTGGAACAAAAGACCATTACAAGAGTGGCACTGGTTAGTATTTTGGGATGGTATTTAGTTTTCAACTCAAAAATACCTAATACCATGTACCATATATTATAATTAAATATATTAAATATATTTTTAAATTTATCAATTAAAAAATTAAAATAATTAAACTCTATATTTCTAATTTAATAGTGAACATAAGCTACAGAACAATCAATACCCCTAATCTTTTTAATCTACCATTCTACCTTTTGTGTCCATCTACTCTCTTCTCCCTTCGACGACTATGTAATTGTTGAGCTAGCAGCAACAACGACTAGCTAGTGTTGCAACCCACAACCAAATAATGACCATTATTAGCACATTGACATGACCAATGAACCTCAAAGAGAGAGGAAGAGTCAAAGGCAAAAACCACTGGTAAGTCTGGAATAGTATGTACTTATATTTTTATTTCTTTCATTTGAAGATTCTCAAACTTAGAAATTTTGTACCTTTGGTCTCTAGCCAAACTTTTAGTATCAACACAATGGATATTTGCTGTATTTCCTTTATTTTAGTTGGTTTATTTACGTTTTTTCCTTTGAATTTTTTTGTTTAGTTTATGCCTTCTCTATTTGACAACTAACATGTCTGCTCTATCCTAAGTGTAGAGTGCTATTTGGCAACTTCAAGAATTCAAATGAATATTTACCCTTCTGAATTAGTAGTGGGAGCACCAAGAGGAGAACAACCATTTGAATTTGATTTTTTTGTATATATTTTGCAAATTTATAAAGTTTTTTCTTTTCCCTTTCCTATCTTATGTAGTATTAATTAATGTTTAAATTCTTGCAATATTTTTTAATGCTTAGGCACCTCCACTACAATATTTGAAGGAAGAATTTGAAAGTTATGAGAAAAGGATGGAGGAAATGAAAAGGGCCAAAGGAAAGCAAATGGAGAAAGATGATGAGGAATGCAAAGAAGACTTAGAAGAGGAGAAAAAGGTAGACGATGATGACAAAGATGATAGTGATGAGAGTCTTGGTAAATGTAGCAAAAGGAATATCACCAGAGTTAAAAAAAGTACAACAAATAGAGCTAACAAAAGGGGAAGAGATTGTCAAAAGAATCAACCTTTTGAAGTCACTCAATAGTCTTAACCTCAAGGCACTAAATGAAAACCAAGAGGTAAAACTTCTGAAGCTTGGAATTACCTCGTGTGCTTTATTGGTCCTGATGGGAAACAAAAGAGAAGGTGTAAATGGTGTAGTGTTGTCATAAAAGCCTATTCTTCAAATAATGGGACGTCAAGCCTTAAGAATACACATAAGTAGGTGCAAACTAAATCCAAAAAATTTGAAGAAACAAGCATAATTGAAGTTGACCAAGTTTATAACTAATAATGGAGGTAAGGCAATGCATTTAGGATAGTGGAAGTTTGATGAAGTGGCTGCTAGGAAGGCAATTGCTGTGATGATTATTTTAGATGAGTTACCTATTAGTTTTGTTGAGAAAGAAGGATTTTTGCAATTTTGTGTGGGTATGTCTTTTACAACATTATAAACCTCCATTGAGGAGAACTACCACAAGACATCCTTGTTTTATGTTGTGATCTTAGAAATGATTTGTCCAAATTCTTTAAAGATTAGAAGATGAGAGTCTCTTTAACTATAGATACATGGACTTCACAAAATAAATCTCTTGTATGTCTTTCATTGCTCATTTTATCGACAATAATTGGAATTTACAAAAGAAGATATTGTGCTTTGTCCCTATGAACAATTGCAAAGGGGAAGACAAGGGATATGTTAGAGAGATGCTTAAGAGAGTGGGGCATTGATAGGATCTATTGTATTACTATTGATAATGCTAGTGCAAATGAAGTGTTGGTTCGGTCATTGAAAGAATTCCTTAACAAAATGGAGACTAGTGTGTTACAAGGGAAGGATTTGCATATGCGTTGTATAGCACACATTGCAAACTTAGTTGTCTATGATGGTTTCAAGCTATACAATAATTTTGTGGAATCAGTTAGAGCTTGTTGCAAGTGGGTTAGACAAGGCACTTTGAGGGTAAAAGCTTTTAAGGAAATAGTTGCATTTGGGGAGATTGATTTCAAAAATAATGTATGCCTTGATGTCCCCCATAGGTGGAACTCATCTAATGATATGTCACAAAGAGCAAAGAAGTATGAATGAAGCATTTGCAAGGTAACATACAAATTACTAATTCTCGATAAGCTTTTTATATTAAATTTCCACTACTCTCTTTTTCTATATCTGATTTTTTTAAAAATTTTTAAATGTGAATAGGCTCATAAGGCAAGAAAAAGCATTCAAAGATGAATTGAGTCCTCCAAGTGCTCCTAGGATTCTAGACTTTAAGGATTGGGAAAGTGTCAGAAGATTAACTAGACTCCTTGAGCTTTTTTATTTGTTTACTTTGAAGGTAAAGTGTACTTTTAGTAGATGAAATTTCAAATAAATTCAATTCCTTGTTTTGTGACATTCTTTTGCCTTCATTGAGTTTTCAAGCTTCTTAACTTTTCCTTTCTTTGGAGCCACAAAAGGCATTCTCTAATTTTGACATTTTAAGTTTGAAATTCAATTATCAAAATTATTTTTAATTTTAACATTATAAGTTCTTTTTTCTTGTAAGTGAGTGGGAGTTAATATTGTACTAGTAATTTATTATTACATGAATTGTGCAAGATTGGTACTCTTATAAAAATATGGGAAGATTCTAAAGAGAATGACTTAGTTGCTATGGCATGGAACATGAAGGAAAAGTTTACTATATTTTGGGGGAATCCAACAAAAATGAATAAGAACATTTTTTTTTTCAGTGGTGTTGGATCTTATTCAAAAATGGAAATTTAAATTGCATTCTTGGAGATTTGTATCCAAAGCTAGAAGTAAAAGCAAAACAATATGGACGCTAGATTGAAGTTGATTAAGGAAGATATTTAATTTTTACAAGACTAAAATAGAAAATTAGAATGAGAATTGCAATAGCACAAATGCCATGTCTAGTTCTAGTAAGGGGTGGGCGCCTAATCGAAGTAATCTTAATCATACTATTAGATCTAAACCAAGTGGTGGGCATGGTCTTGGTGGTATTGCAAGCTTAAAGGCAAATATAAATAATAGTGTTTCTTTTTGCCAAAGTGAACCAAGAAATAAAAAAGGGATGAAGGATATTGAAAGATTCAAAAAAGATTTATCAAAGGCAACTCAAGAAAAGAATGACCGATCAGAGGTTGACATCTACCTTGAAGATAAATTAAAAATAATGGAAAATGATGCTCAATTTTATGATGTTCTTTCATATTGGAGGCTTAAGATTGGGAGATTTCCTATTCTTGCAACAAGGGCATGAGATATTTTAGCTATTTTAATTTTAATAGTGGCATTTGAATTAGCTTTCAGCACAAGTAGTCGTGTGCTAGATGACTTTAGGAGTTCCTTAACTCCTAGGATGGCACAAGCTCTAGTATGTGCACAAGATAGACTTAGACAAAAAAGAAAACATGTCAATATTACTCTTGATTTTGAGAATTTAGATGAACTAGAGGAAGTAGAAGCAAGTTAGTTTAATATTTTTAAAAATAGATTATCTATTATTTAAATTTTGATTCTAAAAATTGTTATTTTGGCTAAATGTTCTTATTGGATTTCATGGTTTGCGGAATATTGGAAGAAGTTACGTCCACCACTTTTAGATGGTTGACATTTGCTATGCATGTGAAGTTTTGGCTTTGTTTTGTAGTTACTTGATGCTGCAAATGCTATTGGTTGTTGCTTTAAATACTATTGCTACTTTCTTTGTTTCTTGCAAATACGAAGTTGCATTAGGTGCTAAGTTAATGACTTGTTTCATTGACAACAAAGTTTTATAAATTTTTGGCTTTGTCATGTTTGTAGCAATGTTGATTTAGGTGTTGAAAATGGTTATCTATCCTACTAGGTTTTTTTACATATAAGAAGATTCAAAAAAAGCAATTTCAACAATGTAATGTTGCTAGTTTATCAATTTTAAGAAGTAATTTAACTAAAAATAATTGGGACAATATAGTTCAATATTGTACCATTCAATTGGATCAATAGTAACCAATACACATTTAGTTGGTACTTGATTTTGGCTTTAAAAATACCAAGTACTGATTCCTAAATAATGTACTAGATAAGTATATTCGGGTTGGTGCTCGATACAAGTTCAAAGAACTAAATATAATTAGTACAATGCAAAACTAATTCGGTATGGTCCAATACTGTACCGATGCCCACCCCTAGTCACACCCTTTCTCTTGGTGCACTGCTAACTTTTCCTTTGGTATCAGTGGTGGCAGAAATGACAACACGGTGCTCTTCCCCCTTTTTCCTTCCTTCCTTTCTTTTATTCCTTTCTCACATGGCTCGATCTTCATCAGGCCATATTCCAATCTCCTTGGTATACTTTTCATGGAGGAAAATCTCATCAACAAAACTAAGTTTATGTATATAAAATTTCCACAAATCAAATCTAGAAACAAAACCTATATTCAAA